ATTTCTTATGAGGCAATAATCGATATTTATATTTATGGACATATTTTTAAGCTGATTTTGCGCCACCCCTCAAATCGCCTGCGCCACCCCCTAGCTACAGCCCTGATTCTGAATGAGTAAATGTTATTTTTATTTTTTACAAAACTGTTTGTGTCTTTATTGTTTTAAGGGTGATAAAAGTGGATAATGCAAGGAATATCCAGTCTGCCTTAAAGCACCCTGGATTACTTAAACTAAAAGGCTAAAAGTAGCCTATCTAAGCTTCCTTTTAAGCTGCAAAGGGATGGCACTCTGCTAAACTCATAAACCTGAGGAAGGAAGGATAATATCTAATAAATACATCCTCTCCTAACCTCTATTCACATACCAACACGCTGCATGCTGAGACATATTTTACCAGCCTCATACAAGTGCACTCGCTCTCTAAGCCCATTTCCAGGCACAATTCAAAGTACTTTTGATGACTATTAAAGCCCTTCATAACTTGGGACTGGAGTACCTGAAAAACCAGCTACCTCTGCAGCTGCCACCCATGCACAGAGCTCATCACTGGGCACCACGTGGACTGAGGTACAGTGAACGGCCACTGAAAGAGGGCTGTCTTGGTGGTGGTGCTCCATCTATAGAATACGCTTCCCAGAGAGGCTTGTCTGGTGACACAATGCTATGTTTATGTCACCATCTGAATATCTGTCTGTTTCCCCAGCCTGTTAAAGAATTTCTCACATTGATTTTATTGGTTTTGTGCCGCTTTTATCTGCTGTTTTAAAATCTTTTCGCTGTTTATCTTATATTTTATCACTGTTACTGTTTTTGGCCATAGTTCTAAGGTGGCTGCCACCTACTTGCCAAGGTGGACACAGACCATCCAGCAAGTCTGCCAGGTCCTGGGCACTGTTTATGCAGTCCTAGCTAAGGAGGGGGGAAAGGCAAGATTAAAGGGGTGGGTTGTGTTCTGTTTGATAAGTTACAAGTCATGAATGAAGGCCTGAATCCGATTTACTGAACGCCACATCAAAACCCTGACAAAACTCCTTTCTGGATTTGAATGAAATCTTGAAGAAGCATAGAACACATGTTTTCACTCTGATGGTCCTTACCAGAGCCATGCAAGGTTATTATCAGTGGTTGCTTGTACAATGTGGAGCTCTGGCCTGGAAGAGCAAGGGTCAACAGGTAGGTCTTAGCAGTCAAGAGGAAGCCTGAAAATGGAGCAGGTTCAGTCAGGAGGCCAAGCCTGACAGAGCCTGATGCGCTGAGTGATGTTTGTACTTATCCAAGAAGCTTAGCATGTGTTGATCCCTTTCAAAAGACCAAGGCTATGTACACACTGCTATCCAGATCCAGTGCACTCCCACCACTGGATTCAGAAGCAGAGCAGACACAACATTAGCCATCATCCATATCCATCCTGTATCTAACATGCTGCTTCTTAGGAAATGCTGATCCAAACTGAGAAAAAATAACAACCTAGCTGTGTTTTAGGCAAGTAAGAAGTATACAGCGCATGTGCCTCTTTGGGAGGCTGGAATGTTAAAAACCTTTGTCGCAGAATCTGACTGAAAAGTGCAAAGTCTTTTCTCCTTTCTCTGGCATTCAGTTGTTAACACTACATCACTACTGTTGTGAGGATATTTTTTTACTGATTAATTCTAATGGTGACCATACTTAAGTTTCTGGGGGGAAGTGGTTTTGATCACTGTGTGATCACTTGTAGTGATTTAATTGATAATTGTGTGGGTGTATATGTTATTTATTATATTTGTATTGGGTTGTCTGTTTTAGGCAGCAATAATAACTCCACTTACTTTGGAGTAGATCCCATTTAATAGGACTTACTTCTAACTAGACATGGTTGGGCTTGTACTATAAGCTGCTAAATCATCTTGAGATTATAAGAATATAACCCAACATGGGGTTCGACAAAAAAATGCATAGCCATATCCCCATGATGTCATGCATGTGAAAGATAAGTGTTCTAGGGTGTGTTGTTAAAATATCAGATAATTCCAGAGCTCAGTAAACTGGCTTGGATCATTTATTTCACTATATCTCCCCTAACCCTTTTTCTTCCCTTTCTCCAATTATCAGGCTATCAGGAATAATCTGAATAAAACCTGCACCCTTCTAGGGCATGTGTATTTTCAGCTGATCAGCTGTGATTTGCATAAAAACTTCATGACAAAATCCTTCTGCCAGCCACTTCTGTGTAATTAGACCACAAAGTAAACATTACTAACATGATCCAGTCTCACATGGGACTGAGCTAACATAAAAAGCAAAAGCATGTGTATCATACAGAGCTCTTATTTGTCTTTTGTGTTAGTTCTTTGTGTGTTTTATTTGACTTAAGCACATGCTCCCCCTTTGGGGACCATATGCTGTTTGCACATGAGTGTCTACAACTTAAGCAAAACGATGCCCCACAACCATGGTGAATATCATGGAAAAGGATGTGTGAACATTCATGGGCATGTGTTCACATGTGACTCCCATTGTTTTTCAAGGAATAATCATTATTCAAAAATTGTAGTAGTAGTAGTAGCAGTAGCAGTTGTTGTTGTTGTTGTTATACTATCACAATTGCCATTCAAGCATCTGAGCATTCCAGGCCAGGTTGTTGCTTTAATGAAAAACCATTTTTGCTGTTAAAAAAAAAACCTGAAGAATGTCAAAGGAAGTGTGGGGAAGAGCCAATAAGAGCAGAAGCAAATTGTAAAGAGGAAGCCAAAGAAATCCTAGAAGCATTGGGGGAGGGGCTCAGATTCCACTCTTCCTGCATTTCTCTCAGGGCCCCTTTATTTATGTGTGAGGCAGTAACTTTCCTTAATCCTCCTAAAAACTGGACTTCCCTGCTACCTGAACCCTCCAGGTCAAAAAAGTTCTCAAGTCTCACTTAATTTAGTTACAGCAATTGCTTCGAAAGAACTATTCTCAGTGTCTAGATAGACACCAACACCATGGCAGTGGCTATTACTATCATGACAATGAACTATTTTGCACAAGTATTGTTTATCAGCATTAAAGTGTAAAGCAACTGGAATTTCTCTGTTCTCGGAAATCTTACCAGAATTCTATCAAAAGTGAAAAGGGTCTTAAATAAACTGCAGCAAGAGCCATGTTTGTAGCTATCATTACATCAGAGTCATAATAAACTACAAAGTGGTAAATATGAAACTAATTACAGCTTGCTGTTGCCAGATTGTTTTGTGTGCTTTTAAAAGGCATCATAGGCAATGACCATCTGTTAATCACAGGTGTGTATCTACTAGATGAGATATGGTTATGCTTGGCTGCCCAAATATAGAGATAGCCGACGCCAACATGCATGCAGAGGTGAAGGGATTACCGTACCTGTTTTGAAGTATTGCACAAAGGTGTTTCAGAAGGATCTTTGTCATTGAAATAAGTGGGAGCAAAAATGAGCTCTAATCAGAACTGGTTTATGACACTTATAAATATTGTGTAACATTCTGGCTTTATCAATATGAGCTGGTATTTTCACATCTGTCATCATGGGAGTCAGAACGGAGCCCGACTGAGGAAGTCATGCACATCCTGTGACCTACCAAGCCAAATGCAGTACACTAGTCACATATTACTGTTTTCAGGTGTTTCACACACCCTTTTTGCACCTACAGGCAAAAAAAAATGGGTGGCCTATTGACTTCCTGGATGGCTGCCATAACATGCTTAGTAGGCTGTGTTTGGCTTGGTGACACACAAATTATCAAGGTCTGTATGCCAACCTCATACTTCCCTTATTGCGCCAATGTTCCTGCACACAGCTGATATGTGTAGTCACTATTTCATATAGCTGGTTTACACTTGCATCTCCATCTCCATTAAATAGTATTATGTTCAAGTTGCTACTGTGCAATGTGAACTTTCTCTGATGATTCATTTGCAAGTAGCTCACTCACAAAGAGAAATTATCCTTTGATGACTCGGCAGCATGTAGACCAACCTTAATGAAAGAAAAAGATGTTGGAAGACCAGCATTCTTCCAGTTGCTGTTGTTCTTTTTAAAAATGTTCTAGATTACCATTGCAACCACCTTCCTTCTTCATCTCATGCTGTCTATTTCTGAATTATTTGAAGCCTTCATATGCAGCCTCACTAGATTAGGAGTGATATTTTCAGCAATAGTGTGCACGTGGCATTGTGAGTTCAAATCCTTCTGTTCCACTGTACCAGTGATGCCAGCCGAATTTGGTGACAACCTCTCTATGTAAGACCTTCATGGAGTGTTGTGCAGGACATCTTCTAACTTCAAATTCACCAAGTGCCTTAGGAAAGCTATCATCTATCAGCCTCAGCCTTTGTATACAAGCATCTGTGATAAAGAGGCAAGAATACAGGCCTACCTTACAGATGTAAGGATTATTCACATTCTTTAAATACTCAGAAAAGCTACTTAGAGGGATAGATTTAGCTACGCAAATTCAGTGCATATTGATGAAGAGTTTAAAATGCAACATTTTATCTTAAAAAATAAAACGTTATCAATGTAAGGGGAAAATAAATTAGTATCTCATCTATCTAGCTATGTTTTGTGCATATGCTGTTGTAGAAAAATATACTGCGCTGTAGAAAATATATTGTAATACATTATAAGCATACTGCATTATTATTAACTGTTTGCTGAAGCAACCTCAACACTTCTCTCTTTCACTGTGGCATGTATTGGTGTTCCAAGATGGCGTGAGAGTGCAGTCTGTACCTTGGGAACATGTCCTCCCTTTTTTTCTTTTTCTTGTTCATGGAATCAATGAGCATGGTTCATTTTATAATTTAGGTAAATGGTTTGTTGGTTTTATCTACATCTATATCTCCTCTTTCTTCCATCATGGAACCCAAAGCAGCACGGCAGACATGTGGTTCCCAGGTGGCCACCCATTGTGGCACAGACCAGATTTAGTCCTACTTAGCTTCAGCAAAGTGGTGGGCTAATATTCCTTCAAATCATACCCTGGGGCCATGTAATAAACTTGAACATTGAAAAAGCACTCACTGGAATGATTCTTTACAATCCTTTAAAATATGTCCATTTCTTTTTTTCTTTTCTTTTTTCTGTGGGGGCATCTCAGGGGTCAGTACACCCATTGTGCAATGAATGAGGCTCACCCTGGAAAAATCTCTTTCATGATCAAGGTGTCTCCCCTGCCAAGTATGCATTAAAATCTGGCAATTTCTGAAAGTTCAGGACTTAAAGTTTGAGATGTGAGTTTAATAGTACTGCACATTCAAGGTATGCAATAATACTTTAGAGGTTTTTTTTAAAAAAATAAAGTCAGAAATTTAGGTCTTGAGCAAGAATCCCCTCTCCGTTATTTGTTCCTGTTTGGACTGGACCACCTAGCAAAAATGTTTATCAAAAATGAACAAGAAGGTAAATTCAACATGTATTACACAACCATGATGTCTGGGAAATATTTGCTGTTTAATCTGGAGAACTTTCAAAAACTTCTTAAACACAATTTAAGAAGGATGGAACATGTACAGAGGAGGGCAACCAAGATGGTCAAGGGTCTGGAAACCAAGCCTTATGAGGAACGGTTGAAGGAGCTGGGTATGTTTAGCCTGGAAAAGAGTAGACTGAGAGGAGATAGGATAGCCATCTTCAAATATCTCAAGGGCTGTCACATGGAAGAGAAAACAAACTTGTTTTCTCCTACTCTGGGGGGTAGGACTTGAACCAATGGCTTCAAGTTACAAGAAAGGAGATTCCAAATAAACATCAGAGAAAAAAATTCTGACAGTAAGAACTGTTCAACAATAGAATGGTCTCCCTCAGGAGGTGGTAGACTCTCCTTCCTTGGAGGTTTTTAAGCAGAGGTTGAATGGCCATCTGTCAGGGATGCTTTAGTTGAGATTCCTGCATTTGCTACTTAAAAGCGCTTCACTTTGGCTAGATGGCACCCTTGGGAGTTAAATTCATATTTTGCACCAGAACATTCTCTGCCATACACACATACTGAAACATGACTATTCATTTTCAATATATCAAAGCTTAAACTCTCACCCGAACCTGAGTACTAGTGAGGTGGTTGACTGTTCCTGGAGTAGCCAAGGACCTCAGTCCCTCTACCCCCTACTGTCTGCCCCCCCCAGTACCTGAATTCATTCCCACATGCCTCTTGGCTGTGGTGCTGGTGGTGAGAGGCAAAGAACAAGGTTTCATGGAGAGAGAGATGTAATTAAGGTCTTTTCGTCCAGAGGGGAAGAGGAATTCAACTCCGGGCCTTCGTCTCACATCCCTGGAATAGCTCAGTTGGTAGAGCATGAGACTCAGGGTCCCCTTGGGCAAAGCCCCACCTTGGGCAAAAAGATTCCTGCATTGCCAGGGATTGGACTAGATGTCATTTGTGGTCCCTTTCAATTCTAGGATGCTAGGAGTAACGTTTCCATGAAGAGTGTACACAAGCACACTACCTACCTGTGAAATAAACCCTTCGATAAAACTGTGTAACCCGTTTTTAACCATAAAGACTTAATTTCCGTGAGGAAGTGTGAAGTACAATAGTAACCATGTCAAGATCAACAGCTACTGCTGGCATCAGCGTGGCCTGAGATTTTACAGCAGTAATTAAAGATTTCTCAGTGCCCTGTGAAGAGCCAAGAGGTAACTCACAGTTAGAGAGCTATTGTTGATGTTCAGCACTTCAGGTTAAAAGGTGCCTTTTTATAGCTCTATTTGCACCTGCCGGATTGTCTGCTTTCCCACATTCAGACTCATTTTCTCCCGCGACCCCCTCCTATATGTTACCTAACCACAGCTATTCAATGAAGGAAGAATTGTTATTCTTTCACCTTTTCCAATGACTGACAACGAGAAACAGTTTCCATGTCTGGCGAGCAAGCCTGGAGGCGGTTAGGCATCTCTAGTGCTGTAGCTGCTGCTCAAGGGTTGGGGTGGGGAGAAGAAGAAGTGGGAATGTTAAGGAAGGTAGGAGAGGATATATTGTTTTGATATTATTCCTCCTCACTCACACTAGTGAGTAAGCAGCAGAGCACACTCCCTTTGCAGCTTATTGGAAGCAAGTTGATGATTCGTTAGAATCCTTTAATTAAGCTATCCAGTCTGGCTTGTTCCTGGTAAGTTTCCCCTTTATTTCCCTCTTAAAATAATAATAACACAACACAGTTTTCTTTAAAAGTAAGAACAAAGTTTTACTCACATTCAGTTCACAGCAGTAATCTGAAGGCAGGCTCTACCTTGTGGTTACAGTGAAAAGTCTGAGCTACACCTCAGACTTTCCGCTTGTGGGCTCCATCCTGTGTGAAGCTATGTTGAGCCATGCGCTGGCTAAGAGCCAGGAGAGCGAGAGTCCAAGAGTGAGAGCAGTGCTTTTTTTCTGGAGGGACGCAGGGGTACACATACCCCTAAACATTTGTGAATCTTTCTACTTTTGTCCATTTACTGTATTTTTCCCAATTTGAACTATAAAATCATCTTGATTCCTTAAAAAGTCAGTAGTCATGGGTGTGGCAACTGGGTACGTTTCTTGCATCTGCATGCTTTGGATCAGTTCAGAAATCTTTTGCTTTTGGCTAAGAAGAAATTAACTGCCTTCTCTTTCCACTTGAATTCCAAGTTAGTACTGGATCTTTCCCAGTTGGTTCTGGATGCATGTCTGACCTGTGGTCCTGGAACCACATCAGCTTCCTCCTCCTGCTCCCATGCAGGCATATAAAGCTGCTCCTCTTCATCTCTGGTGCTGCTGCTGCTATGAGTCTGGTCCTCTGGGTCTTCTTCTTGTGCATTGCCTGTAGAGGGGGCTATGACATTAGAAGGCAGATCTGGACATTGAAAAGTTAGTGAGGGGAAGTATACAAGATCCTTGGTTTCTTCTGATTCCTCAGAAAAGTCCACAGAACTATTTCTTGTGTCAGTTTGGTTGTGTTCATCAAAATAAACTGCATGTCATGCACTCACTTCTCCTGTTTCCAGGTCCATTACTTTGTAACCTTTTCCTCCAATGGCGTATCCCAGAAGGATACCTGCTTGCGCTGTAGAGTCAAGCTTATGTCTATGTTCTCTGGGAACGTGATAGAAACATAGGCTTCCAAATTCATGAACGTGTGACAGGTTGGGAGTTCTCCCATGTCAAAATTCAAAAGGTTTAAGGTTAGCTCCCTTTGTTGGCAGTCTATTTTGGAGATATACCGCAGTTGCTGCTGTGTCTCCCCACATGCGTTGGGGTAGAGATGCCTCCTTGAACATGCACCTTGTCACCTCCATAATGGATCTGAACTTTCTTTCAGCTATTGAGTTCTGTTGTGGGGTATAAGGAACAGTGGTTATATGCTCAATTCCTTCCTTTTCTAGGAGATATTGCATGTCACATGAGCAATACTCACCCCCATTATCAGTCATTAACACAGCTTGTGCTCTCTGGAATTTGTTTCTCACCATGGCAAGGTACTTCTTGAACATTTCCAGCATTTCACTCTTTTCTCTGAGAAAATATGCTACGCAGTGATTTTGCATCAGAAAAAACCAAGTTGGAAACAGAGTTGTTAGATTCTCAAGTTCAAAATCTGTCTAGAATGTATAACCTATTGTTGGAGTGGCATACAAAGGATGAACAAGTTAAATCTGTGATGATAGACTGGGCAAGAGATGTTGGATATAATATAATGTTTGAAGACTGGGAAAGGTTGTGGAGGAAAGGGGTCAAGTTCACTGCATGTACGGTGTTAAAGGAAAATGTTATGAAATTGATGTACAGTACAGATGGTACTTAACCCCGGTAAAACTAGCAAAGATCTACCATAAGAGTGATAATTTATGTTGGAAATGTAAAGAAAAGGAAGGTACCTTTTATCATATGTGGTAGACCTGTCCCAAGGTGAAAGACTTCTGGGAAAATATAAATGTTGAAATATACATTTACTAAGAAACCAGAAGCCTTTCTACTTGGAATAATAGGTTTGGAATTACCCAAGAAAGATGTTAGATTGTTTTTGTATGCCACAACTGCAGCTAGAATTTTGTTGGCCAAAAATTGGAAATCACAAGAAGTACCAACAGTGGAGGAATGGCAGATGAAGATGATGGACTTTTGGGAGCTAGCTGACCTGACCGGAAGAGTCCACGACCAGAAGGAGGAGGAGTACCAAGAGGAATGGAAGAAATTTAAAGATTATTTAGCTAAATATGTTGAGATAATTTAAATAGAACTACTTGCGAATATCAGATAGCCCTAGGATTCAAATATGTGATGTTGTAGAATAATATGTCTAAAGTTTAAATGAAAAGAAAGAAAGATGTTAATTGAATGAGTAAATTTTATATGAAAGTAGTTTTGGAAAACTGCTACAATGATTTATATAGAAACTCAGCCGGGGGGATTCGAGGAAGTCACCTAACAATGTTAACAAAAATGGAATTATTACAGTTAAGATAAATGTTTCTTTGGGTTTTTTTGAGGTTTTGTCCTATTTGTTTGTTATAAATTTGGAAAATTAATTTAAAAATTTAAAAAAAGAGAAAATATGCTACGCAGTACTTGGAAAAATCATCGAGAAAAATTAGTATATACTATGTCAAGCACTTTGGTGCTTCTCTGTTCAGTACAAGGAGAAAATGAAGGTTTAACAGCTTTCTCAGCGACACGACTTACACATTTTGTTGGTATTGAGTTGTTCTGTTACCTGAAGTCCTCTTGCAAGCTCTTTCCTTTGTAGATCCAATATGTCAGGGGCGGCCAACTCCTAAGAGACTGTGATCTATTCCCTTTTTTGGGGTGCAGGTCAAAGTTGTTGAGCTTTTTTTAGGGAGGAGGAGAGCCCAGTTTTGTTTTTAGAGGTGCACCTTTTAGAGTTTTTTTGGGGAGCCGAAGTTTCTGTGCTAGAGTTCAAGGTCCACCTCATCCTTCTGATTTGAGCATGCCTCTTTAGCAGACTGAAGTTCTGAAAGGTTAAGATCATAAATACCATTTTTAGATTGGCTTGAACAAACATCTCATCATCCTTAGTTACCTTGCATTTTAAATTTTCAAATGTTATTTCAAAACCTTTTATGTCCGAAGTAGACACACTGAGCATGTTGCAGTTTAGCTTTGGAACATAAATAACTCTCTCCACCATATTTTATTTCTCTTTGTACTGTACATTTTAAAACCCCTGACCCGGCTCCATGAGCCTTTACAATGTAGCCATCTGCAACTTCAAAATCACCACCTTGGGATTTATCAATATTATTAATATATTCAAAGAAATTATTACTATATGAAAAATGTGCCGTTGCCCCACTATCAATCAACCACTTGTTTTATTTGTTTTCATGATTATTAGCAGTTAAGCTCTTTTCTTGCAATAGTAAGGTACGTTGACCATTCCCCTTCTTTGCTTTTGTTGCTTAAAAGGAAGGATTTCTGTGACTTTGGAGCTCTGCAGTTCTTTGCAATGTGGCCTTCCTTGTCACAATGAATGACAATGAATATAACTTCCTTCACATGATCTCTAGCCACATAGTTTAAGTCATTTACCCTTGCACTCCTAACTGGAGACTCATCTCTTCCTTCACATTCGTCTTTTAAATATGAAATTAATTCTTTAAATGTTAACGTTTCTTTAGCATCCATCAGGGTTGCAAGAGTATCAAACTTGGGTCCTAGTGACCCTAGGAAATAGCAAATTATTTGCTTTTCAACCAAATTATACTGTGTCGATTCAAGTTTCTGAATGACTGCTATAAACTCATTCACATGTTTGAGAGAGTCTGTCTTTGAATCTAATTTTAATTTGAGGATGCTTCACATCAACTTTCTGTGAGACCTTTTGCTGGTACTTCCATACACAATTTCCAAATCTTTAAGGATCTTGGCAGCAGCATCTAATGTGACATTTGCACATCTGTAATTGCACTTAAAATGGTAGCTCTGCCTTGGTCAGTCTGATCTTCTCATAGATTAATTCCACTCACCATCTCAAAATTGAAATTTGAAAAAAGGTTGAAAAAAAATAAAATTTGAAAAAATTGTCAAAATTGTCAAAATCTAAATCTCAAAAATAAAAATAACTCTTCAATGCCTCAGCTACTGTGAACTCTGAGGGAATAGTGGGGGCTTAATCCCCTCACACAATGGAACAATTGACCATGTGCTTACCAGGAAGTAGACAAAGAAAAATACTTTTCAGCTCAGGATCTCAATCCAGTGCCATCTACCAAAAATACTCAACTCTGGGCCCCATAAACCTTTATGGGAATGTTAAGGAAGGTAGAAGACGATACATTGTTTTGATATTATCCCTCCTCACTCACACTAGTGAGTGAACAGCAGAGCACACTCCCTTTGCAGCTTATTGGAAGCAAGTTGATGATTCATTAGAATCCTTTAATTAAGCTATCCAGTCTGGCTTGTTCCTGGTAAGTTTCCCCTTTATTTCCCTCTTAAAATAATAATAACACAACACAGTTTTCTTTAAAAGTAAGAACAAAGTTTTACTCACATTCAGTTCACAGCAGTAATCTGAAGGCAGGCTCTACCTTGTGGTTACAGTGAAAAGTCTGAGCTACACCTCAGACTTTCTGCTTGTGGGCTCCATCCTGTGTGAAGCTATGTTGAGCCATGCGCTGGCTAAGAGCCAGGAGAGCGAGAGTCCAAGAGTGAGAGCAGTGCTTTTTTTCTGGAGGGACGCAGGGATACACATACCCCTAAACATTTGTGAATCTTTCTACTTTGGTCCATTTACTGTATTTTTCCCAATTTGAACTATAAAATGGTGATTTTCTTGAGTCAAAATGAGAGTACCCCTAAACATTTTTTGAGGGGGGAAAGCACTGAGAGTAAGAGTCCAAGAGAGAGATGGTTGTGTGGCCAGTCCTTTTATCTGGTCATCTTGGGTCACACCCATCCACCTGGTCATGCACAGGGGGAAGAAGCTCCAGAGCAGGTATGACAGGAAGTCCTTCCTGTCGAGCCACATTCCCCTGTGTGTCCCTTCTAGGCAACAGGAAAGTCTTGTTCTTGACTGTTCTAGTTCTAGTTCTACACATCCCACAGAAGAGAACAGGGAAGCTGAAGGTAGAGTTATAATTTTAATTATAATATAATTTTATCCAGTTTGGTCACAATGTATTCAGCTAGTGTGTTCAGGATTGCACCTTGCATTTATGCCTGGCCGCTGAACTAAAAATTCCAGACTTGGATTAAGATTGTGCAATTTGGCACTAGTCCTTAAGAATGCGACCTTCTCACTACAAGCCTTCACATTTTTATTTGATTTTAAAAATATAAAATTATAGCAATACAGCCATACCCATACTGTATACATTTACAGATTCCTCCAAACCTTTGGACGTTCCACCTTCCCCTCCGTGGGTCCTGTTCTCAAACTTTTTCTACTGCATCTTTTTCAATAGTCCATATTTTATATGAATCCATTATCTCCATAGTACTTGCTACGTGAGGAGTGTTATTGCAGTCCTGCAGATGTCTTCATCTGCTCCCATTTTACATCGTCACATGCTGTGGCAAGAAGTTCTGTGGCGAAGTTCTGAACCTCCCTCCCGTCACCTTCGTTGCACGCCCGAGGTCTAGCGTTCGAAGAGAGGATGGAAATGTCGTACCTCTCCGTCGCCGTTCGGTTGGCCTACTCCCCCCCCCCGCCAGCCATTTTTGCTTTAATGTTTAAGCAAAAACCCCTCGAATGCCTTTTCTCCTATGAAAGATCCTCCAGCCAAGTCCGCGATTACGTTGGCTGTCCTTTCCTACACTTCTTCGAGCTCCATGAGCTGCTGGGTTTTGTTTAGATTGAGTTATCAAAACTGCACACAATTTTCGAAATGTAACCTCGCCGCAGCTGCTATTTTCTCTTTTGCTAATAACTCTTCGAATTGACTTTTTATTGGGTTGCCATCTCCAGCAATCTTAGCGTTAACCTCAGGAGCTCTTTCCTATGTGGGTTACCGGTCCCAATTCTGATCTTAACAGTGTGCGCGCGCCTGCGCGCACTTTTGTATGTACTATTACCAGGCCTGCAACAGTTATCAAATGGAATGAGGGTGGTGTTTACCCGTCTTTGATCTTTGGACTAAAACCCCCGCACATTTTTCACCCTTCCGATGCCTGCTTGAGTGGAGTAGGGGCGTCTGCATCGCTAAGGAACCAGGGACGTGACTAGTAATTCCGGGTTAATTAATACGGAGCACACAGAGGTGTGTTCCTGTAGGTGGAGTGCTAGTGTTCTTTTGCTCTCTTCGAGGTAGTAAATACGGAATGAAACGCGTCCTGTGAGACCTAATGCCTGAAGGAAAAGAGGAAAGGCGCAACCGTGAGTTGTAGCCAGGATTACCTCTTCAAGGCTTCCGCTATCAGCATCAAGCGAGTGGGAGAACGTGTGGACTCCTGCTGTCTGAGGTTAGGCACTGTGGAACCGAGGCCACCCCCGTCTTCTCTCCGCGCAGCTCCTTTTCCACCACTACCCCGGCGGGGGGGAGGGAGCTGCAGCTGGAGCCACCGATGGAAAACCAGTCTTAATCTCTTGCAAAGCGCGCTATCAAAGCTTGAATCAGCATATCTAATGTAAACGAGCTTTCACACATAAATAACGTGCCACATCTGGCCCCTGGAGGTTTTATAGCGCCTTAGCTACCCAGCGATTTATGGGGAGGTGAGCTCGTTAAAAATGGAGGCGGCGGGGGTGGAATTTGGGCAGTGAGCAGCGGACAAGCCTGAAAAACCTCCAAGTTTAGGGGGTGGTTGCGCCAGAGAAGCGGGGAGGAGGCAGAGAAAGCCTGAAAGGGTCCCGCGGTAGTTGTGGTTCCTAGACCTTCAGATCCGGCGGGATCTGAGCGAGGGGCTGCGGCGGAGAGGGAGTGCGAGAGCGGGGCTGGACAGGGCTGGCGGCGCGGCGTGCAGGTCCATCTGCTCAGGAGCAGAGCCGGGGCGGAGGCAGCTGAGAGACAGCCATCCAGGAACAGTTGTGTTTGCGCTTCGCACCAATTTATTACCGATGAACATATGGCCAATATTTTGTCCCACGTCATAGAGCGGGAAGCAAAGCAAACAAGATCGCGTCGCTGAGGAGAGAGAGAGAGAGAGAGAGCGCAGGGGGCCCCCAGCTAACCCGGCTCGTCAAGAGCTGCTGGCTGATTTGAGACAATGTGAGGGAGCGCAGAGGGAGGAAGGAAGGAGTCCAGGCTTCTAGGGTGTCTATATAAAGCCCACCAGCAGCAGCCTCCGCTTGGACAAACACACACACACACACACACACACACACACACAGTCACTCGCATCTGCATCTTCCTCGCGCGCGCCAGCCAGCCCGCGCTCCCAGCAGTTCCTCGCCTCGGCTGGCGGAGCCTTTCCTGACCTCCGCCTCGCCTCTCTCCCGCACATACAAGCCATCTCTCGCGCCCGGTTGGCCAGCCAGGCAGGCGAGCAGCGCAGGGAAACCGCGGGGCAGAGGCGCGCACACCCCGCCACCAGGTGAGGCGCTCCGCTTTCTGGAAAGGAAGGGAGAGGGGAGGGGAGGCCTGTGCGCCGCGACAGCTGCCCGAACGCAGCAAGTCAAGTCGGGACGGGGAGGACTGAGGTCCGGGCGGTGTTTTTCTGTGGAGCGGGGCGCGGGCAGGTCTGTTACCTGGCCGAACAACTTTGGCGCCGGAAAGCGAAGAGACCTGGGCGCTCCTCGGGGCCACGGAGGCGCGTCGCCTGGGGAGAAAAGTCAAGCGACCCTTTGAAGCGAAGTGGTCGCGGGGGTCGCGTAAAGGCGGCTGTGGTTTGGAGGAAAGAGAGGCAACGCGGCGGTGGGGGGGGAGCCAAAGGCCATGCCCTCGCTTCCGGGCAGGTGGTGCGGACGGAGCCTCTGAAGGAGCTGAGCCAACGGAGAGCCTGGCCCGAAAGAAGCTCTTGGCTCCCTGGGGCTTCCTCACCTGGCCAAGGGAAGATCAGGTGCGGCCTCAAAGCTGCTGCGAGGGAAGGAAGGGAGGGGCAAGAGGCTGCTTACAGCCCGAAGGGAGATGCTCTGCCTCCGAGAAGAGTGAGTTTTCTCTACCAGCCGGCTGGCCGCGAAGGGGAGAGCAGGCGCGCGTGGAGAAGAGCTCCCTCCTTTCTCCGCCCCTCCGGCAGAGTCTCGCGGGGAAGCAAGACCCACGTTTACCTGCCTGGGGTGCACGCGCCCCTGCGGACGGATGCGCGCGCCCTCCGCGCTGCTTCTTGACAAGGCTGCCGCCCCTCAGCTCCCTGCCGGTTTACTCTATGCAGCAACGTTGAGCTCTATTGGTCGGTTTCGCCTGGCTTCTCTTAGGGAGCTGAGCGTAGGGATCCTTCCTGGCTGGGACAGACGGTCTGCTCCGGTCCCTTTCTCTAACGCAGATTATTTTACTAGGAACGAAAAAGGAACTGTTAGGAAAAAGGAGCGGGGGGAGAGACACTTCTCCAGGGAGTCAGCAGAGTTCGCCATAGTATCAGAAATAGTTGAGAATCAGCCGGATGGGATCGGAGCTAGAAATCCCTCTCCGGCAGTTAGTTGACTTTCTCCCGTTTCTTATTATTTGAAAGGAAACCTCGCCTTTCATTTCATTCATTTCCCCCGTTGGGGGGATGCATTTCGGCGCTGCAATGTGGTAATCCAAGAGTTCCCCATCTTTCAACTTTCGCTCGTGTACTTGGTGTGATCATTATTTTCACATATGCCTACCTATTTGAGCTCACCTTAACAGAACTCGTGAGAGTGTATAAATTGAATATCGCTCGTAAAATCGCTTCAAATATGAGTGAATTTTGAGTGACTGGCTTCCCCTGTCCCCCTACTCACCCGCATTCGAGCTACATGTAGAGGACATACAAAGTTAATTCTGATAGCCAAGTGCTTTCAGTTCTGTGTTGCCTAAAGAACGAGAAATCTCTTCTATTCAAATTGTTCTTATCGAAACGAAAGGGATGGATCTGTGCAGAGACAGCTCTGAAGGCAAGCTGACAATGTTTAATCTCATTGAGGCACGCTTAATCATTAGAGAGACGCGAACGAATAAAGCTGAAGGATTGGCTGGAGGGAAGGAAGCTTTTAGTTTACAAATAAAACGCTCATAATAGTCTGGAACCGAAAGGATGCCCGGAGGCTAGACTTAGCTTTTGCAGAAAATAATATTTACAGCGGAAAGACGAGTCCGATTTCTACAGCCCCCGTGGAATTATATGGTAACGCCAAGACTCTCCTTTGGTTGCTTAGGTAGCTGGTGGAACAACTTAATTTATTATATTATATTAGATTATTTGGGTATTTCTGTGAAAACCTCATTAAAGTCGCTTTATCAAAGTCCTAACACGTGCCCTCTGGCTTTCTCTCAGCCCGTAAATAACCGATTAGCCTGCAGGAAAGAAAAATCCATGACGTCTATTACAATTTATGACCTTGGGAGATTTTCCGAAAGAATTGGGGAAAGCTTGTTATCAAAGCGAGGGCTGCAGGGGGCGAAAAATTCATAATAACCATCATAATAAAAAGCTCATTTAGATGTAGAGATCCTGAACACAATTTCTTTTTTCTTTTTTCCCCCTCTACTATGCGGATGACAAGGAACAGATTGCTTTTTCAAAGCGTTCGGGGGATAACCCATCCTGACAGTGTAGCGATTACTGGCTCTTTTCCTCCCTTCCTAGAACTGTGGAAATATTTGTGTTGTTCTTCTAGTAAGGTGAAGGCAATTCCACCCCACTGACAGCTCAGAACTTTCTCAACCGGAGTTAAGCGAGCTTAATTGGTGGCTTATTCCAAAACCAGAAATTCCTCACTCCAGGAGTCTCCTCTGTACTACCAAAACAATTCCATCCAAGCTTTCTACTTTCAGAATATTTCTTTTAGAGTATACTACTTTTGCTATTGTCATCTTTTCTGACGTCAGTAGCTTTTGCACATTGCTTTTCGGCAAATAAAACCAGAAAAAATGCTTTTTCGTCAAGAGATAAATCTGGCCCTTTTAAAATGTTCGAACACGCACACATCAGCAAAAGGACAGGGTGGTCTGCAGTCAAATGCAATTTTAAGTTGTCTACTTAGGGGTGGTTCTTGTGCCTTGCATTTGTCAAATGACGCTTTATTATCAGCTTCAAAAGATGGCACTCATTAATTATCAATCTCTCCCCCAGCCCTGTCCCTACAATACACTTTTAAAACAAAGGCTTACGCGACTTCATTGTTTTCAGGGTGTGTTGCGGAAGTGAATCACTTGAAAACAATAATCATAAGTATGTTGACTTACCTGTTATGTATATTTTCCTATTGATTTTAAGTATACCCTATCCTGACACTATACCCTATCCTGAGATAAAACACGCCATTCCCACAACCAAGGCTTTGTGTCTGCCTCTAACTAATCTTCACAAGAAGCGTTAAAGGTGTGGTGTGTTTTTGTCTGCACAGAGCGAATAAAAACATTTTGCTTGCACCTTTGCTCTAATCAAACAATAAACTAATCCACTTGAAGGCTGTTATCTGAGATGGGATTTTGTGATGGGTGAAAGATCAATCCTATATACTGTACAGTGCGCTCTCTTTCTCTCTGTCTTTCGCGCGCGCACCCACAAAGAGGGAACTCCTTTTCCTCCTCCAGTCAAAGAAAAACGCACACAAATCAAGCCCAACAATCCTATGCCTCAAGATGAATAGAAAGACCTTGAACTTTTTAATGGCTGGGAATGCTTCTGTCCACTAGCAGAAGAAGGGGAGACCAAGATAATGCCTTTCGCTCTTTAGCATCAAGGCCAAGCGGAGCCATAGGAGCCAACTCCTAGCGGCTGAGGTCCCTTCTGTCCACCCCCCCCCATGAAATATTTGAGGGGACCATGGCCCACAAAGTTGGTGCACATTGCCATTGAAATGGTGTACGTTTGCCGCGTCATGGGCTCGATTATGTGGGGTGGGGCTTACCTCCCCCCCCCATATCCCCCCCATATTTTATTCACGTTGGCAGCCCTGGGGGGCGCATCTGGCTGCCTGCAGCATCTTTTCCCCACATCCTGCAGGGTGTGAGGCTTATTAGACTGCATAGTGACCCCTGGCTGGAATTCAACTGTAATCGTTGCAGAGACATATATACCAAACAGCATCACGTCGCTGTTGCTATAAATCTTGACTAGGAATTGATCCTAAAGTGCAGTGTTCATTGAGGACTAAACTTCAGGACCAACCACTTTAACAAATCGAATGGTATGTTATAAGTTTCGTGTCTTCAGATTCCTGGTTTTAAGAGCAAATACCTGCATTGCAAACCTTCGAGTCCTGCCTCCGAATTCACCGTAATTCTCCCGCTGCTGAAGAACCTTGAGTTCTCCTGGCGGTGGTGCGGCTTCCTTCAGCAAGCCCTCCTTGAGCTGTAAGCTCTCGATGTTAGAAGTGCACAAGCAATTTACATGAGTGTGGTGGCTAAGAGGGCCTCTTTCCCTGCTCTTATGCCCTGCAAACTGTTGGCTCCCTTGTGTTGTTGCTGTTGTTTAAATCCCCTTTTCGGACGCTGAATACTTCCTCTAAGCTCGAAGGGTGGTGAAGACCTCTGCAGAAATCAGTGAGCAGACGGCTGCCTGGTGTTTGAGCTACCTGTAAAAGTAAACAGGTAAACACTTCCTCGCTCCTAGAGGGCACTTGTGCTGAAGTACAAGCACTTACGCTGTGTACACGCACCTCTCCTTTTCAGCCTCTTGTTCAAGTGTTCAAATAACCCCCTCCATCCTTTAATTCCAGGGCTTAGGGTTCCGAAGTCTCTGGATGGAGGAGCCTTCCAGGATTCTCAAACTGATGGGCGGACAGAATCGCTACTCGATTCGCCCTGGGTCTCCAGAAGCCGCAACCGCGGGTCTGCCCCACCTCCATTGCCAGATTTATTTGTATTGCTGTCGTTGAGGGAGGCTCAATAAGTGAGCGCTCATCTGAGGCACGCTGTTCCGCAGGAGTTTTCTCGACTAGCGAACAAGGAGACAATGCCACAACCAGATTTCAGCCCTCCGTAATATCTGCAGAGGCATTTCAAGCAGGTCCCAAGAGCCCCGGTTCATTGCATGCAGTTCTTCCTAGGAAGGTCGCTTAATGTCATCATCACCCTGAACCACCCTGGCCGAGTCCATTAGACCTCGCATACGAGGAACCGCGAAGGGAAACAGAACAAAACACGCGAATGTAGCCTGGAGAAGAATCTCTATATTCTGACGTTCCAGATCGGTTTCTCTGGCAGGTGCTTAAGAGCACAGCTTCTCAGCACAGACAGACAGACAGACAGGCTAAATGCCCTTCTGCATAACGCAAGCCAATAGCTTGGTTGGGACGCCAATCTGTGGGACAAACCAGCCCACGAGAAGAAGGCCAAGGAAGGCCTAGGCAACTGGCTGGTGGAAACGACCAAGCAGGGGGTCTGATGAGGGCCATTTACGGCCCACTAAAAGGAGGTCAGAGAAAAAGTCGAGGCCCCCTTTTGAAAGGGAAGAATAATCTCTAGGAATATGAAGTCCTATTTCAGAAGGTCTAGCGGCCTTTCACCGTAGTGGCTAAAAATCTGTCGCACCCTCAGGACAAATCCAACCAGACCTGACCTGGGACGCCCTGGTCGTGGACGTCTTTCCTCTGCTTCCCCCCTAGCCTGCCTCCGTCTCTCCGAGTGGCTTTTCCCACCGGCGACAGACTGGGCAGAGATTTTTCCATGCGACGCTGGCTGCATTTCACCCGTTTAGGCCGGAATGTAGCATTTCCTCTCTATCCCTACCAGAGAGTAGATAGAAGTGGAAAGATAGGAGTGGAAACCCCTGTGTTTCATTGAACCCCCCCCCCCAGCGAAGTCCCCAAGGCCTGTCGCCCCCGCCCCCACCTCACGTTCCCTCTCCACTCGAAGGTTTCCGTGGGACCGAGGGGAGAAAGAGAGAAGTTTTTGGGTGTAAATATTTAACAAAAGGGGGGGGGAGGTTTTCCTTCCTACTAAGCGATTCCTTTGTTCTTGTGGGAACTTCGTATGTAAGGCAAACTTGTAAGTAAGTTATATAGATTGATTTCGGAACGGGGAGGGCGAAGTGGTGCTGATGGGAATAGAAATTATGACTTATTGCAGGTCTTTTGTGTACAAAGGAGAATAGCTGGTCACAGTCCAGCTGTGTCGCTCAGTGTGTGTGTGTGTGTGTGTGTGCGTGTGTGCTTCTCAATGGCCTATTGTCACCGCCGTTCGAAGGGCGGCTGATTAATGTTCTGCAGGAGCCCTGATTTTCCCTTAGGAAAATATTTGTTTATCAGGTGGCCGGAGGGAGCGAATCTGCCCCGAGCCCATCACATGGGAAGCGTGTGCTCCAGAGTGTAACTCTGCCGGGAGGTCTTTATTGATACAATTCAACAAGTGAGACTTTTATCCGGGTTTTAAAGAAAACACGCTGCTTTTTTGTTCACTGCCCAAGCACGGCAAGGGTCCAGGTGGGCACTTCCAGCCTCACCTAAAAGCAAGCACGAACAAGGACGACACGGGACGAAAGAACCATTTCCCAACCTCAGGAAGGGTCCATAGAAGGAGGAGGAGAGCAGCTAAGGCAGCAGTAGTTCCTCTGTCTCCACCTCCTCACCTCTCTCCACCCCATCACAACCTTTGTCTTAAAGAGAAGGGAACAGGAACTGGAGGGGAAGTTGTATTTTGCTTGTCCTCAGTGGGGTTTGTTGCTGTTAACTGTGCTGCTAACATTTTTGAAAAATCTAGTTCTTTAACTGCGGGTCTTGCCGCCTTGGCCTGGAGCCAAAGAGACGGGTTACTCCCCACCCCCTCACGCCCGCCCAAACCTCAAAAAATTACATAACAACCCGGAAGAACAATCAAGGTTCCCCTCATCTCACCGCTCCCCAAGTAAAATTTATAATTCATGTATTTACTACATTTGCTGCTTAATCTTTCCCTTCATAATCACTGGATTGCCTTGCTGCCTTAAATTACTTGAGTGCATTATCTCAAGTTAGCTCATGTGTTTTAAAATGGGGGGGTCACTTTATAGACACGTTTACTATTAACTTGAATAATTCCTGCATGCATGTCAAATGCCGGCTTTTCATCGCTTTCCCCCCTTCTCAGCATATGCAATAAAAAACTATGCGTATCATTTTAAAATTTAGTGCTTCCTTGAATCGACCCCCGCACACAGAGAGATACACGCACGCACATATACAAAATGTGTATTTTTTATTTTTTAGTCGAGTGAAAAAAGGAGAGGAGTTCGGTCGCATCCACATGAAGGGGCTTTCCTTAATATTGTGGCAAGATTCCTAAATGAATGAAGAGATAGTCCATTGAAAGACGTTGAATGCCATGACAACTAGGAACAACCTCAGATTTATTCCAAACAGTTAGAACACATTGAAAGAGGGCGTCAATCATGTATTATTTCGCCAGTGAAATAAATGCAAAACCTGGTCTAGGACAAAGGCTTCCAACAGAAGCCGGACATTTGTCTACATTTCGCCCATTGTCCGCAGCTTAGCAATCGGTTTGTATTTGTGTTTGCCCCGGTCCGACCACCCAGGATGCGCTCAGGGACTAGCTTTTTTTAAAAAAAACACCCCGAAACCGAACCATTGTCATCCACATCACATACTAGATGGGAGGCATGGGGGGGGATGGGACAGGGAGATATAAACTGATAAACCACCATTAATTGCTTCGGAAGGTCTTCGGGGATCGCCCACCTCACGCTCCAGCACAAACACACCCAGACCACCGCGTCCCAGTTTCCAAGTCCCAGTTCCAAGCGGTTGAGAAACTCTGACAACTATAGCATCTTGATCGTCTCCGCAAGTGTCAGGGGGCTTTGGGGAGAAGCGGTTTTTACTGGGTGGGGGGGCAGTCCTGTTTGATTCCCTTTTTGAAAACCATCCTTCCCCCAAGCCGGCTTTGAAGACCCCAGGAGGATCCCATCCACCGAGTTCTGCTGTGCCCGAAATGTTGCCGTCCGCATCGCCGCCGCCCCCGCAACCCCACCCAGATTCCCTCGGAGATAAACAATGCTGCTGTTTTCCGCCTCCAGCCGTAGAGCGAGGGACAGAGAGTTCACTCTTTAAAAGGAGGGGAGGGGGGGAGAGTCCCAAGAAAAGGCTACGAGCCGTGAACCTCTGGGGACCAAACCAAGTGGGGGGGGGGAGGGGGAGAACGGAGGGGGAGGGGAGAGTCAGCAGCGGGGGGGGGGGGAGTTTGGTTCAAGTGAAGACAGAAAATGCTGGGAATTTTCCCATCCACAAGGTTTATTGTCCTTTCAGTGTCCCTAAGATAGGCTATTTAATACTGTCTGAATAAGCAGTAGCATCGTATTCTGGGCACATACATGAGAGAATTTAGGTGCTATTTTAAAAGACGTAAAATTCATTGGTTTCCCTTTTTTTAAGAATGCCTTTGAAATGCGTGTTCCAGCGGGGGGGGGGTTCTCAAAAATTCCAGTTTAAAACAGAATTGGTTTTCTTTTTGTTTCTTTGTTTTTTTAAAAAAGGCTAGCTCTGGCTTTTACAGCGGTATGCCTTGTTAAACGCACAAGTAATCTCTCCAGAAAACGGAAGAGTGAAATAAATTAGTCATGTGCAAATAAAAAAGAAAACACCAAAAAATCGTTCGACTCTATCTAGGAGCTGAATTACCTTCTTTATTGCCAGTTTAGCTGATTTCGGAGCAAACTGGAATCAATTACTTGCTGTTTAATTTCTAGCACTCATCCTTAAGCCTCAACCAAAATATTGACCTAGGAGGTTTACATAAGTTGGGCTCTTGCCATCCCAACAACATCTTGTTTAGGTAACCACTAATTTGAATAGATTCCCCATTTCTGTCTTTTCTTTGCACTTTCTTCTTCTAAAAGTGGCGGATTTAGCTCAAGCCACTGTAAAACAGTCAATTTTCTAGCTTGCTTGGAAAGAAAGAAGGAAGACAGAGACAGAGAGAGAGAGAGAGAGAGACAGAGAGAGAGAGAGAGAGAGAGGCAGCTTTATGTCAGCAACGAGAATGGGAAATGAATGCAAAATCGGGTTAGAGATGGTAGTGATGGTTGTTGGGGGGGTTAAAAAAAAACAAAACCAGAGGCAATTTGTTAAAATGTACTTTCAAGTATGTGGAATATCTGGCTACTTGCAGCTCCTTTGTATGTAAATACTGTGGAGAAAAGGCCCTCCCCATCTTTGTAATTAATTGACACGTTATACCACTCATCATGTGCTACAGCACCAATGGTGGAGGCTCGCATCCCCCCTCCCAAAAAAACCCCGCAATTTCACATCTGCAAACACTGTCTTCATCCACTTGACTCCTAAGACCCGCCCACACGTGGCCAACCTTTTGCGTTTTTAATGCATTTTTCTCCCCCCCCCCCCTTCTCTCTCTCTCTCTCTCTCTCTCCCTCCTCTCGGCAGGTTCATGTGCGGAGACCAACCTTATATGGACTGCCCGTCTCAGCAATGGCTTGTTTTTTTCGAGGAGGCACCGTCAGCGCGCTGTGCTTAAAGCAGACCCTCAAGTAAACGCACGTTGGCATTTTTCCTGGAGTTACAAAGTCTTGCGGAAGCCCCGCCAGTTGCCCCCCTTGTGCTCCGCGGCTCTTAGCAGCCAAGCCCGAAAAGCGCAGATATTAGATGCTGAAAGACCGCCGCTGATTTTTGCCCCCCTCCTCCCACCACCACCGCCACCCCTCCTCCGCCTCCTCCGCCGCTGCCACCGCGTCCCCTCTTTTATTCCAACCCAACACCCCCACTTCCTTCTTCTCTCCCCCCCACCTTCCCCCCCCCCCAACCGGTGTATGTTTGGCGAAGCAAGAGGATTGACAGTCTGGTCCTTCAAAGTTTCCTGCCTCAGATTTGCCCGGAATATGTCTCTGACCAACACAAAGACCGGCTTTTCTGTAAAGGACATCTTGGACTTGCCTGACACCAATGACGAAGACGGATCCATCGCGGAAGGGGGCGACGAAGAGGCGGAGGGGCCGGAACCCCCCAAAAAGCCCGGGGTTTTGGGGACAACCGCCTTGGACTCTGTTCAGACGCTACCTCTGAAGAATCCCTTTTACGACAATACCGATAATCCCTACACGCGTTGGCTCGCCACCACCGAGAGCATCCAGTATTCCTGTAAGTAGCCAAACTTACACTGGGGACTCCTCTCTTTGTGAGTCTCTCGCCCTCGCCAGGAGCCCGGATGAGGCCGTGCGGCTTCTCCTCCGCTCCTCTCCCCTCGCCAAATTCCTCCTTTTGCTGTTGTGTGTCGTGCGTGTTTTAACTTCTTCTTGGAAATGACGGGAACAAATGGGAGATCTGGGTTCTTTAATTACCTGAATCGAGTCAAAATAATGGCTTTCAATCCTTGTTTGAGAAAGAATAAAACTCCAGTCTGAAAAGATTTTAAAATGTGCCTTCCAAAATTCTCCCAGCCACCCAACCGTGTTTCTTCACACACACACACACACACACACACACACACACACAACCGCTTCCCCTGAATCCTTCTTTCTACTTCTCTAACCAACAGAGTATGCTTTGTGGGGAAATTTTGGATGGCTTTGCTTTAGACGTTTGTAAACCGTCCCATTGGCTGTGCTGGATCAAAGAATGGCTTGTTGAATTATCCTTTAAAAATCAATCCACGTAGCCCAGAAAGAAGAAGTCCGTTTTGTTTGTTTGTTAAAGGAAGAGACCAAAGTCCAAACGTTGTAAAAAGCGGGGGCGGGGGGCTCCAGCGGGATATTCTCCTGCGCAAGACTGCATTAAAATGATTGGGAGCTACCCAAGACCGCTGTGGATTGCGCCAAGATTTTTATGGTGACCATGGTCTGTCTATTTCTACAAATCCTTATCTCTTACTATTTCTGTACTGTGTTTCCTAACAGATTTATTAACATGGCATATATAGTCACCTTGTTTTGCCTCTATGCTTTCTATTTGTGTTTGTAATTTTCCGAGAGGGAAAGAAGATTTAAACGCACAGTCGCCTATACCTCACAGGGGAAGGAGAATGTGTGGCTGTGACAAACACGCATCAGACAGAGATGTTTCCAACAACACACACTTGATCCAAAGGGCTGTTAGGGACTTAGTTGTCACATATATGCAGAACTCAACTGGGGTTTCCCCGTTGCAATTTGTTGTACGTTTAGTCTTGGTGAACCTCCCTTTGGAGACCCAGAGGCTCATTTCTTATTGAGGATGAGGGTGGGCGTCCCAAAACGAGGGGGTTGCAGAGGACCCCCGTCACTTTCCTTTCTCCGGGTTGGGAAGTTGAGAAGGAGCAGAGCCCGGCGGGTCACCAAGAGGGTGAAGGGGGGGATCCTGCGATCCTGCTCGATCCTGCTCCCCTGCCTGCCTGGCCGGCCGGCTTTCTTCTGATCTGCTTCTTTTGTGGCTTCCCCTCAGTGCACGGCTTGGCATCCAGCAACTCCCAACAGGACTCGGCGTCCAAATCTCCGGAGCCCTCGGCGGACGAGTCTCCGGACAACGACAAGGAAACTTCGAGCAACGGCGACTCCGGCAAGAAACGGAAACGGCGGGTGCTTTTCTCCAAGGCGCAGACTTACGAGCTGGAGAGGCGCTTCAGGCAGCAGCGGTACCTGTCGGCGCCCGAGAGGGAGCACCTGGCCAGCCTGATCCGCCTCACCCCGACGCAGGTGAAGATCTGGTTCCAGAACCACCGCTACAAGATGAAGCGGGCCCGGGCCGAGAAAGGTATGGAAGTGACTCCTCTCCCCTCCCCGCGCCGGGTAGCCGTGCCCGTCTTAGTCAGGGACGGCAAGCCGTGCCACACGCTCAAGGCACAGGACTTGGCTGCCGCCACCTTCCAGGCGGGGATCCCCTTCTCAGCCTACAGCGCCCAGTCTCTCCAGCACATGCAATACAATGCCCAGTACAGCTCGGCCAGCAACCCCCAGTACCCCTCAGCGCACCACTTGGTACAAGCCCAGCAATGGACTTGGTGAACTCTCTCTAGAGACACAGAGACTCCAAGGACAAGGATTCCAAGTCAGTCCGGCTGGGGGAGGAGGGTGCGCGCGCGCGCGCGTGTGGACGGGTCAAGACTGAGATTCCGAGGCTGGGGTGGGGAGGGGGTTTCCTTATTTGGGGGCGGGGGTCAGTTTTCATTATTTTGGTCGTTTTGTGCGCCATGTTTACAAGGGGGGGGGGAGGGAATACGCCGTTGCTAGTGGTCCTGTCTACCTACAACTACAGATTTTAAAAAAATAATAAAAAACGATTAAAAACTGAACGCTTTTGTGGTTTTTGTAAAGTATGTTTGTGTGCCGTAGAAGCTGTTGTCAGCTGTATATTAACCAAGGAGCGAGTAATTTAAAAATAGAACGTTATTTCTCATTTATGCAGAGATATTTATGGTCATGTATAAAATTCTGGCCACTATTAGCACTTCTACTTTTATTTTATTTAACGGTAAACCTATTTAGTGATTGTTGACATAAATTCAGGCCGCCCTTTATTTTGGTTTGTTTCTGATTGGATAGGAAATTCCCTCCCCGTGGCGGGGGGGGGGGGAGAGCGCGCGCGCGTGTATATATGTATGCATACACACATACGGAATGAAAAAGTATCCATAGAAATATACATGTACAAATCCGAACAGAAAACTAGGAGATTTTGAGACTTTTATAAGAATTTTAATCAGAATGCTGTGTTTTGTTTTGTTTTGTTTTGTTTTAAATTCACATTAAACGGAACGCTTTTGTTGTGGTTAAACATTAAGTTAGCCTCTCTCGTTTTTCTTTTTCTTTTGTTAGTAACGCTGGAACAAACTCTGAGGAAGGGGCTCCTGCTGGAAGACACAGCAGAGAGGGAAGCGGGTGGGTCTCCGGTTTGGATCCGTGGAAGGGGCTGTGGGAGGAGGCCTAAGCGCCTTGCGAGCGAAGTTTGCCCAGGGCTTGTGCGCCGTAGCCGGAGGAGGACTTGGAGTCTTAGAACTCTTGAGGACGAGGACAGAGACAGGAACGGGGCCTGCCTCCCTCCCTCCCCACCCCCGGCCCAAACTTTCTTCAATCTGAAGCTGAATATAATCTCGTCCTCTTTGCCTTCTGCCTGCTCAAGTTTATCTACTTGAGATACTAATAAGGAGATAAAGTGACGGGTGGAAATGAAAAATCAGCCTCCCCTCTGCCCCTCCCCCCCATCCTCCCGCAGCCTCATTTAAATGTAAGAGTGCTCCTTCAAGATGAGAAGCTTTTGATTCTAATAGCAATTGAATGGCGTTTACTTTCTCAGCTGGGTTGAGGTTGGTTACTTCGAAACTGGAAGTCCCGCCGCGAGGTTCCCTTCCGCGACTTCTCGCCATGTCTTTGCGACTTTGGCGAGGGAGGCCAATGTTCACACGTCCACGCAGACGAAACCGCGGGCTGCTTCAGGGTCTTGTTTTGGGGGGCATCTGAACCTCACTAAGGTGTGGTTTTTCTGCTCCCCTCCTGGGCAGGGAAAGACATTTTAGACAGTGGGAATTGTTTGGAGCCGCTTAATGAGGAGAAGCGTGCCTGGTGGAGACGTTTTAAGACCCCCAAAGACCTTCCTCTTAAGAGGAGACCGCGAGCACGTCCATTTCGTATCCGGAAGGAAGAAAGAGAGATGGGGACTTAATTCGGATCGGGTGGTGCTTGATACAAGCTGAAAGCGTTAGCTGACAGGTTATCCGGGCCGCTTGTCTGCTTTGCCCGAAGAATGCGATTTGAAATCAGGCCCGTCGAAAGCACTTTCACATGTCAATGCTGCGCCATGTCGGAGACTGTAGCTCTTTTCCGAAGCTCAGCAAACAAGTGGATCCATAGAAGGGGCACCCTGGGCACGAAAGCAGTCCCCGTGGAGCTTCCGCCAGAGCTGGCCACGTTTCAACTCCGCATCCAAAGCAAACACAATTATCTGGCGCCGAGATCTCTTTCTGCTGCAGCCTTCGCTCGCCTCTCGGAGAGGCTGGGGATTGAGCGAGCCAGCCTTCGACTGCGGCACTCGAGGGCCCGCCGCCAACTCTGAGGCCAAAGCAGAAAATCTGCCTCCTTTTCTGGGGTGGCTTCTCTGCTAGTCTCTCGCAAAAGAGCAGTCCGGCCGTGGACCAGCTGCAGCCTTCTCTGTGGGGCAGCCCATTTGGGATTGGGGCCGTCGAAACTGCCTCCGGTGGGCTGGCAGCTTGTCCCTCGAAGCTGAGTTTGCTTTTCGGGGTGGGGGGAGGAAGGAGCCTTTTCCCCTGCTAGGGAGGGTCTTTATAGGAGCTCACCTGCTCCTTCTGTCCGACTTGCTTGCACCCAGCTGCAGGTCTGCTTCAAGCCCCGATTTCAGACTGGACTCCTAGAAACCCAATATTTAGAACTGATCTATAGTGGTTCACATTCAAGCGCACCGTCCCAGTGAAATGCTCTCTTTTCCCCTCTTTCCAAAAGCAAACCTTCCATCCAGAGCAGGGGCGGTGTGTTTGTGCGCGCGCGCGCGCGTGTGGAGTGGGGGGAGCCGCTGTCTCTCCGGTCTCTACTAAGTCTATCAAGCTGGCGAAGTCTTGTGTGGCCCTAACCCCCAGTGGCCTTCCATTTCACACGCCGGTGGTGGCGCGGGAGTTTGGGGTAGTCTATCTTTGCACAATATACAGTACCCATCACAAAACGGCACAATAAGGGAGGCTGGGAGTTGAGGATGTTAGAGGCGTGCATATTAAGTTGGGGTGGGGGAAAGAAAAGAAAGCCACGGAAGGGACAGAGAGGGGGGAGAGAACGCTTGCCCATCCCTCTCGCTTCTTCTTTCCCTTGTTCTTCTCGGGGTGTGGGTGTGTGCGTGTGTTTAAATGCAATTCATCAATTGGCGTATCTGGAATGAGCAGAGCATCCCCGAGTCAGGGGGAACTACCTCGGGTTTTGTTCCGCCTGTCAGTTGGTGCCATTGTGAGCCACGTTGCACATGCCGTATTCCATATGGACAGCTGGGCCGGGAGAGGGCAGAAAGGGACCTTCACAAAACCCAAATTGTATCCGTCTTTCAAAACCGGTATTGTTGTCTGTGAAAGGAAGACGAATTAAAAATCCGTGCTATATCTATTCGAAGAAGAAGAAGAAGAGTCCTTTCCCTCCCTCTTCTTGAAAGCAAACATGGCCTCTTTTTTTCTCTAGAGTCTACTGAAAATATGCCTCTAGTTTCACAGACAATTAGGTTCTTGTATCTACACAGAGGTTAAAACAAAAACTCAGCCATAAAATTACTTTTTTTAAAAAAAACACGTTGGTTTTATGCCTCCCTATCCCCCCCCCCCCCGTCCATCCTAATTGTAGTTCCTCTGGCTGCCTGTCTAACTGTTTAGCTGGCTGTTTAGCTCGCTGAGCTGGGCCGAGAAAACAAGGAATCTCATTCACGAGGAGATGTGATGTTATGCAGAGACTCCTCAGATCACAACTGGATACGGTTGCTGCTGGCTGCTGCTGGCTGCTGATATATGTGTGTGGTTCTCTGCCCTCCTCCAGAGAAATCGAAAACCAGCCCCATGCTGTCTAGAATGACCACAGGAAGTTCTCTGGAGGACGACTGATGGACATCATCCAGGCAAATTTAAGCGCTTGTAAGTCCCACTGATTTCACGGGGAAAGTTAAGCATTTGCTTATATCTGCCCTTTGGAAATCGATAAGATTTAAAGGTGCTTAATTTTGTGCTTGAGTCATGCCTTTTTAATCACAGCTCTTAGGTTAATATAGCAGGCCATTGCGAAAAATCGGTACACCTGGGGTTGTACCTCTTACTATGTTATTCCAACATCTGTCTTTCTGTCTATCTAGGAAAGCCAGGGCGTTTCTGGTTTAGTACCCTCCTCCTTAGTATACCGGGGTATGATTCTCAAAAATCACTGATGATACGCTTTTATTCCAAACCTGCAGTTCTTCCTTAGCCAGTCAGTTTCTTCCGAGTCACCAACGGCCAGGACGCAGCACGCATAGTTACGCCGTTTGACGGTGGCAGTCCAACCATATCTATTGGGAAGTAAATCCCATGGAGACCAACAGGCCTTGTTTCCTGGTAAATCTGACTAGGCTCGGAGTGCGAATACTGCTTAAACTGGGGTGATTAAGCGCTTGCTTAACTTTCCCACTGAAAGCCACGGGACCGAATAACAAGTAATGCCATATTGACAATAACAATTGACTCGCATTCCAAAGGACGCCAGTTTGCGAAACCAAAACAAGCCCCTTTCCCGCCTCCTCGGTTCCTCAAAAGGAGCCGTGTGTTTTCGTGGCTCGATCGGGCCCCACCAGCCCAACCTCCTCGAAGGAAAGCACATTTTTCGGTATTTCAATAGAAACGCCGGAGCGAAATCTTTGTGTTCATTGGTTAAGCGGTCGCTGTTACTCAATAGGTTTTTGAAGACAATAGCAGGAGGCAATTTGAAAGAACTACAGCGGGGGAAGGGAGAGAAAGAAGACAATGAAAAAATGGGAGAGAAAGAAGACAATGAAAAAAGTGTTCCGTGCATTTGAAAACTGATGGATTGTTCCTGGAGCTGCAGGTCTCTGCGCGCGCGTGTTCCTGAGCACTGGAGAGCCTTCTCCCAACAGCTACCTAAGCCGCCTCCTCTCTGAGCCGTTTTCTTCTACTCTCCTCCCCCCTCATCGCTTTCTCTCCCGCATCCCGTCACTGGAGTAGCTATTTAGGGAGAATCAGCTAGCCTGATAATGAGCTGAAAAACCCCTTTAAGCTCAGGAAATAACCTACTTTCATTACCTATTGACTGTAAGGCTTAGTTTAGACCTGGCGTGGGATTTTTTTAAAGGGTCTTTTCAAGAGGCCTGGTCAATGAGAAGCTAATCCAATATTTACAAAGTATAAAGACAATTCTCAATTGTATTTATGAAGCACCGATCACCGTGCGATTACTTGGAGGAGGTGGAGAGGAGAAGGCAGAAAGGAGGGGAGGAAAGCAGACTCTCGGTTGGTGGCAGCAGGTTGGAGACCTCACCGACCCCCCCCCCCGCTCCAGCCTCCACCCGCCACCCCGAACTTCCTGCGCGGGGCCCAGCTCAAGAAGCGCGCGCGCGGAGCGATGTAGCAGCAGATACTCGTGAAGTGTTGGTGTGTATTAGATATTGTATTGAGCAATATTTCAGGAAATATGTACTTGTGGCGTCCTGAGAGCGACACTCTTGCTCTGTCGATAAATCAACTCGCTTTATCCCAGCATCTGCAAATAAACTCTCTCTCATCTCCCCCATCAAAAGAAAACAATTTAGTTTTATTGCTTTATTTCTCTCCTTCCCTCCCTCCCTCTCTTCCTCTTGGAGGCCTTCTTCGATTATAAACGCTGTTATTAATAAAGCTAGCTAGGCGAGCTTTAATCGCTTACAATCGGGCGAGGAGGAGGCGGGGGAGCAGCAGGGGAGGAACAAGCGTCAGGCTCCGGACGAGTCTCTCCCTTTTACTGACACGCTTTCGCCACAAGGGGTCACTAGAGCCCTTCATTTCTGCACCGTTGACTCTCCACCCCCCCACCCCCACCCCCGTTGGAAATCCAGAGCCGGCATAGATGTACCTTTTAGGATTTAAAATGTTGATCACAGGGGATGGATAGAAAGAGTTTGTTATTTTATTTATTTCAGCACTGCCGAAGTTGGTGTCCGAAGTTTCTAAGCGCCCGGGACGTGCTACGTCTGAATCCAACTATTTTATTTGGGTTAACAATGGTGCAGCGACTCAAAAGTATAATCTTCATTTTCTGATCTGTTATCTGCTCCGGGGCGTAGCCAGGATTTATTTTTGGGGTGGCAGGCTTTAGGGGGAGGCAGAACCAAGTTATCTGCAATGCAACTGGTTAGTTAAGTATTGTTTTATTTATTTGCTTAATCTAGGCCTGCCTCCTCCTGGCTACGCCCATGTATCTGCTCCTGTCAAATAAGAGGGCGGCTGCTTTTTTGTTTCACTCAGTGCAATTCCGGAATAAAATAAAATAAAAACGCTGCAATGGGGTTGTCAACTTCCCTCGCCACAAAGCAAACGAAATACGTTCTTCACTTTAATTCACAAGCAAGCATAATAGTCCGCCCATGGCTTGAGGGGAGCTCACTGTCCATTATCTGACCCTCTGGCAAAGCAGGGCCAGATCGTGGCTTGGCTGGAAAGCGAAACATCGTCACTCGGTGATGAAATTCTATCTATTCACATAGAATGACCAGACCACTTGCCTGCTTTGGGGAGGAGGCAGCTGGAATTCACATTGAATGCCAAGGGTCAGTTTTATTTTTGGTTGTGTGCAGTGCAGTCAGGCAGCTTCAGTCTCTAAACGTAATTGTCTTATGGAGGTGGGTGCTCTTTAGATGATAATGGGTCTTACTTCACTTCAAAATGTGATAAGCGACAACTGGTGTGATAATCGACAGCATGAGCGGGGTTTTTCAGATGCTGTTCTTACTTGTATAGAACCGCATTCAAAATGCAGGCCAACTTTGGGGAGAAAATAATGCTCCAGGATTGTTTGGATGATCCATTTACCAAAAGCATGAATCTGTGAAAGTGTGGAGCAATTGGTTGTGTGAATTATCTCCAGCAGACTTCAGAGCACACAAACCAGGCATTTTGTGCTTGTGGTGGTGAACTCGCATCCAGGCTGCACATAAAGTCAACGCCTGAAAGATTTCTGCCTGTGAGCTTCAGTGTGCAGAAACTGTCGCAGGTTTCTAAGGGGACTTTGCAGAGTTGTACATATAAAATGAATCTCAAGGTTGAGAGGACAGCAGAATCTTGGTGGTGACAGTGGCCCTGGATGAAGATGTAGATAATTGTTTGAATCAGATGCACCCAGTGGGGGTCACCTGAGCCCTGCCAGGCAACATCCAGATGTACCTCTGTAGCACAGATAGTCATCATCCACTCTACCCACTAAACGGAATGATGCAGTAGACTGAGGAGGTGGGAGATTATGGAATGTACCACTTCAGGCTTCAGGAGGGGGGGTCATGTTTTACAATGCTCATCTGTGTTGAAACAAAACCTCTCTTAGTAAAGCCGTTGG